TAATATCTTCGTTAAAGACTTTGATGGTGACAGCTCAAACATGAGAGGTTGAGCTTTATTAGCTCCACCTTGCGGAAATTCCGGATACTATTATTTTGCTTGCCGTATTATAGGAGAATTTACGGTAACTAGCGGTATTTACCGGTAACTCGTGGTAGACTGCATACAACGCACCGGAAAATAATCCGGTATCGCCTGCGCATTTTGAATGGCTGCATCTGTGCATGTTTGGAGGCTTTTCAGGGGTGTCATGGTGACATGGTAATGCATGTAACCTAATGAAATAACCTTCTGTGGTTCAGAGAACACCTGAGATACTGTAACAGAGAGTCCTGCAGCCTTTTATTTACCATTTGAATATCATTATGCCCTAGATCAGGGATGGCCATCCTTTTTTAATGTAAGATCTACTTTTTCATTTGCCAGTCCAGCGAGATCAACCAGTGTGAATTTGAAGCTCTGGTATAGGAAAAACAGACTGGGCACATCAGTACAATAACAATACCCCATCACTAAAATGATAGCAAATAAAAGCAAGTGACTCATGTTACAGTGAGCATGTAATGTTCCCCATTTTAGAAAAAAGAAAATCCTACCTTAATGTGAGCATTGGCACTGAGAACACTTATAATTAATCATGTCAATGACATTTTTATTTTGTCCCTGCAGTTCAACATTCAGCTCATTCAGCAGTTCAGTCAAGTCTGTGAGGAATGCTAAATCCAGTAGCCACTGGTCATCCTCTAATTGGGTATATTCACCATGTTTAGACGACTAGAGAAATTCTTTGATTTCAGGTAACAGCTTTTTTGGACCTCATCAAAAATGTTTGTTTTTTAAATCTCCAAACAGCAAGTCAGCAGCCTCAGCAAAACACTTTTTTTATTCTCGATCCCTGAATGACTTTTTGTGTTTAGCCAAGACGTGGCACATACTGAACGATGCGATGATTGTCGCTTTCTCTCTTGTATTAGGCCTCATGAAAACCGACTGCTGCTAAGTTGAGATTTTAATTTTTCCATTTTTCTTTTCCGTAACTCACTTTTAGTGGGAAAGTCCACAACATACGATTTGTGTGTAGTTTTGAAATGTTGTTCTATATTTCCCTTTTTCACGTAGACACTGGCATTGCAGATTTGAATGTGAAGGTACAAAAAAATAATCATGCTCCCATTCCTTGTGGTAACGGTAAGTTTTCACTCAAACACTATTAAACTGTCAAATAGGCAATCATACTTATCAAACTGTTGGTGAATTTGTCACAAATTTGTCATTTGCCACTATGCATTTTAGCGAACATGGTGTTCCTGTGGCAATAACCAAGAGAACGTTATTGGGTAGCAAAAACAACACTCTTTATTTATAGAGCTCCTGTAGCCTTTTTTCAGTGTGAGCCAGCACTCAGGGAAGAGACTTTTACAACCCATTCGTCCAGTGTTAAACACACACAATGGCAGTAAAATGTAAGACATTACACAGATTCATTACACAGATCTGAATGAATTTTTAGTCTAGCGAAAAAAGTAAATAGTCAAATAGACTGGTCGATTGTGATCGGCTGGTTGTGCACCCCTGCCCTAGACAGACCTGAACAAAAAGAACTCACATTATTCTGACTGTTGCATTGTTCAAACCAACTAAAGTGAAGTGAAAGAGTGATGATGTGAGAAGGAATCTCTTTTGGGGCAAGAATGTGTTTAGTGAAGAATAAGGACAGTCTTACTGCTTAGTACAGTACATGGATGAAGTTCTTCAGCCACCCACTTTGTTTCCTGCAAGCCAATCCAGATGTATCATTGTATCATTGTATGCTGACCAGAAGTGTGAGTTTTCCATAGAGTTCCATTATTAACCAAAAGGTTAAGAAATGTAGGTCTTTCCACGACCAGTTCTGTCTCTTGACATCTGCGGGATCAACTCGCTAATTCCATCAATAGTAGACAACTTCAACCTGCCTTCGCTAGCTAGGTGAAGCTGCACAGAAAGAGCGGTACAACATCTCAAAGCAGTGTATCCATAGGCTGATCCGGACTTTGCCCCAGTGCAACCAGGATTGAGTTTATTCTCTGGGAAGACCACAATTATTGTTAATCAACTTGGGTGACATTTGTATCTACAGTTTCCACCCATTTATAAAGCTGGGAATTTAATGAAGCAATATTAGCAAAGCACCATTCTCCGGAGTAAAACAGCAGTGCTCCACACAATAATTAAAAACAACCAGAGCCCTGACCACTGCACTGTTCCCTACTACACCTAAAACTAGCCTGATAATGTGTCCATTGTGACAACATATCAAATTTCATTCTAAAATCCTTGCATGATTTTTTATCTGTATTTTTGTTTAATTGTCTATTATTGTGTTTTAAATATTTCATTAAATCATTTGGAATACACCATAATTGTAGCTGTGTATTATTATATATTGCTTTCTATTTAAAATATCATTGTATGCTGACTATATCTTCCTGTCATAGTACATAGGGATTTAGCACATGCATATTTGTCTCATAATACTCTGGGAGTTTCTGCTTCTATCTTAAGTGTCTAGTTACTTGCCCATTCCAAGCTGATTCTATTACACTTTTATGCCAATGCAATCCCCACAGACATGGCTGTAAGTAAAGTGTTAAAATGTTCTATAAACTCTGGTGTCAAATTGCAAAATAAGGCAAGTCTGGGGTCCATTTTAGGGATTTTATTGACAGATGGGATATGGGAAGACACTGAACTTTAGGTTATACAAGAAGAGACAGGAAAGAATCAGGTTCGGGAATTACCTTTCCTTTGGCTATAATGTAGAAAGTGCTTCCTTCCTCTCCTTCCCTGATGACATAATCCCCTTTGTCATAATATTCCTGACAGCAGAAGAAATAGAGGTCTTAATTCAGACATTGATTTTTCCAACCCACAAGACACACTGCCACCCGCAGTTCCACTTACTGGCATAGAGAACACTGCTTTAGTAATTATAGTATCTGTTCAATCAGCAAGACATAATCAGCTGCATGCTGCACACACAGAATTAGTGAGGATGATATGTGTTTTCTGAAAGAAAATCTCAACATGAACTCATGTTTTATTTAAGTCTGTCAGCAGACAAAAGCTGGTAATATTTGTTTACTATTTTGACATACCTCTGGGATATCCTGCAGCTTTTATCACAGGTATTAACAGAAAAAAATGCCAGAAATATTGCTGTGATCATAAACTTAATCCTATGTCACCACAGGGTTCATTGAGTTTTAACATTTTAACAGTTCTCCTGTGTCATTGTTTTAATAAAGATAAGATCCATATCCTGTGCTTTTTTACAACACTGTGGTTGTGTAGTTCCATAATTTATAGAGGGCTTTCAGCACAGAGTGTTTAAAATATTGTGAGCTAAAACATTACTATTTCACTTATCCTCTAAGACTTAAGAGGAAGCAAGAGACAGCAAAGAATACTGAATAACTCCATGACAATTATCTAAACAAAACACTGGAATAAAGGTTAAACTCAAATACTTAACTTTAATTACATAACACTGATTGCAAATTATGAAATAAAAGATCACCTTTAGTGAATGTAGCAAAATGTCTTATATTAGAATATTAGAATGCAATATTAAAACAGGAAAAATTAAATATAGTGACAATGTTTGTCATATTCTCAGGGAATGAAAACAATACAAAAGTAGCTCATTTCAAAAACAGCTTTTTTAAATTAAAACACTTTGAAGTTATATATTCAGATGAACAACCGTAATGCATAAAAACAACACAAATAAATAATACAATCTAGCATACGTAGGTTCAGATGCTAATAGCAATCTGTCATGTTCTTTCAATCATTCTCAATACATCACCCTCTCCCCAGTGGGATACAAAAATGTGATTGTTTATCACTTCACAGAGATGAAAAAGGATTTACTGCCAGTCTCTCTCATAACAACAAAATCAGACTACTTAAGAATCCCACAGAAATCAAATGACTAAAGAATATTATTGCAGCTTCTGTTTAATTGCTACATAATTACAACATAGCAAAATGTAATAGCAACACAGCTATTGACAAAAGCTCAGAGTAGTCATCTGCATCTGAAACCTTTGTTGCTGCTGCTTCTCTTTATGCATTCCTTCTGCTACTGCATACATACCAGACTTCATTACCCACCCACAAACCCCCAGACATTCTATAATAACTCTTTAAGGACAGACTTAGATTATGTCACATCCAGTGCAGAAACAGCTATTGTCATTTTACCCAATTATGAAAATTAGGACTGTATTAAATAAATGAAATAAGATTTTAATTAAAGAATATTATAAGGACATTATTTGTGGAATATCAAATTACAAGAAATACTCAACTTTGCAAATTGTAATGTTTGCAAATGGGTGAAAAGACAGGACACTATCTCCATCAGATTTTAATGATATTTTCACAATAATATGCTGAAAGGGCTGTGCTTGTGGTTTAGATATTAAATTTAGTGATTATGTGTTGTCTAATTTTACAATATTAGTAAAATTGCTTGTTTTTTAAAGTTCTATATTATGGTTCGATAATAAAACTAGATGTTATAAATATAAATAAAACTATACTAAACTATTATAAAAATCTAAATCAAATTAGATATTGTGCCTTTGATCATTTTTTTTTGCCAATGTAATATGATAATAAATAAGATTCCCTGCAAACTATGGGATCCAAGCTAATCTTTTTATTTTGTGGAAACACCTTCTAACATTTCTGAATTAAACAATTCTCTACCAAGACAAACTTCAAGCCTTTTTAAAACTCTTAGCATTTAGAACTTCTGAATATTTGGTCTCACAGGCTGCCAAATATAATTCTAAAGTCACTATAATAATGTAGCTCATTATTATCTGAATTATTCAACTGAAACATCTGTGGTAGTATTAAGTTACATACTCAATATTCCACAGAGACTGAATATAATCAAGCCCATAAGAAATTAATGAATAACAGAATTCTCCCAAACCACCCATGGGACAAGAAACTGAAAGGAATGTCCCTGAAGTTTTCATTGTAAAAGTATTTTAAAAGGCTATTATAAATTCAGCTGAGGAATCCCTATATTTTATAGTCATAGTTCTAAACGCAACAGTATCAGCTGTTGAGCTTCACTGGCAGTCACAGTTTCATGTTTAATTGATCATACTTTACATAGATGAAAAAGCAGTACAATTTGTCTCCAATTGGCTAGTAGTCACTGTAGGTATGCTAATGGCAGAGTTCATAACCGTAATGATTTTGTTTGTTACAATAAAACACACTGTGTTTCAACATAGACATTAGAAGATTACAATAAAATATCGGAGACCATAAAATAAAGATATTTAAAGACTCTTGACAATAAAATCCATTAAGTCTAGTATATAGTATAACCTCAGGAGGTCTGGTGCAGCACTTTTGGTACAATGCATCACAGTGTGGAGGGGGAATTAATGAGACTCCTGAGGCTGGGAATACAGTAACGCCATTGTTGGGAATTGAAAAAAGATGCAGTTATTTTATGGTTGTTTCTGTCTGATGGAATATGTCTCATACTGCATGTATTTCTTTGGGTTTACAAAAAAACAATAGATTATAGTGCTAGCTTCTTAAAAAGTTAAGTTAATTGTAATTAAAACATGATATCGTAACCATGCTTTATGGGTGCTGAGAATTCTCTGTGAACATCCACTTTTACAAAATTAATTTAAGCTTTCTTTCTTTTTTGCTGTCCATTCGTAAGCTCTTAATCATCTTGGCTTTACATCTATGATTCTTGTATCAGTACAGAGTCACTAGATGAGGATATGTGTATTTCTTTAAAGAACGCAATATCAGGGCCATTTGGTGTTTTTCAACTTGTAAGTCTCACGATGCAAGCGAGACAATCAGATTTGATCATAAAACTTATGCAAATATAAGCAAGGTTATACTTGACAAGCTGAAGGGATTGCTGCATTAGTTGGTTCAATTTGTTTGAATTAGTCAGTCATGTACAGTTTTTAGGGAACAGTGATCATATTCAGAGGAAGACACCATCCAGATCTGAATCAATGATATGGAATATAGGGCTCAGGCAACGCCCCAAACAAAAAACTTTTTTCAAAATATTTTGTGGGCTTCACAGCAAAAACTTTTGTCTTGCTCTCAATGATAAATCTTAGAAGTAAATGCATATAATCAAGACTGATTAAACCACTATAACCCATTTTACCATTTAGGGTTGTAATAACAGAATCCAGCAATGTGAAGGATCAGAGTCAAGCGTTCAAGAGATCAGAAAGCAAGCACTTCACTTGATTGACCTTACACTATAAAGACTGCAAACATGAATTTTCTTGGCCATCAAACCTGTTCAGTTCAGCTGATGGGAAACATTTGCTTATATTATTAGGAGAAATGTCTGAACTTACCACTTCCAAGCAGTCAACTATCTTACAGAGTTTGTCTTCTGGCAAGTTGGCTAGCAGAGAAACACTTAAAAAACAACAAAACAAATTTTAAGTTTACTGAAAAAGAAAACATATGACTAAAGATTAACACAAACTTACTACTGAGTTACCTTCGCAAAAAGTTTCTGTACTGCTCATGTCTTGCTTGAGCAGTCCTTCTTGTAATGTTCTGGAACACTTCCCGGTCCAAGGCCCATGTTTTGACATTGGTGACAGCTACAACAAGATATTATGTGTGTAAGGGAAACATATTTTTTCATATTATTCATGTAACATATTCTATGCACATATTCTACCTAGAGCTCCATAAATAGCCCAACTCAGAGAGTATAGCCATAAAATATCATAGTCCCAAAGAAACAACAGATGTTTCCATTTGTCTAAGAACAAAGAACCAGAGGCAACTGTTTTGGGTGTCTGCCTTCAAGTTCCAGCATGCCAAGTGTTCAGATTAATTTATAGTTCTTCAGTACTTTGTCAGCTAACATCAATACCAAGGTAATTTTTTTAATTTAGTTAGGAAAATAAGCTCCTCTGATTTTACCTAAAAATGAGGTACAGTGCCCACAAATGAACAAATTCTGAGTATTTTACCTTTCATAAGAATTATACATGAAAACATTAAAAAGAAACTTTCAAAAAGGGGTAAAATATTCATAAAACAACATGCTATTTGACAAAAATATGACTTGTATGCAAAGTATAAATCTACCTGATTCTTCAACATTTGAAGTGTAGTACGTCCTAGGAATAAACATTTCAGACAATACTGTATATACCTTTCTCTGAAATAGACAAGTAGTTTGTATGGTTCTAGAACAAGAGAGTTTGTTTTGTAACTTGTTAAGAGTTCTTTTAACAAGTAACAACAGTAATCCATACAATTTAATGTATTTAGATTTTAAGATTTTTATTATTTTTGGAGTATATTAAATTTTGTTTGAATAAAGTTCCTCATGAAACATTCATTCTAAAATTGCAAAGTAATGTGTATGTTCAGATTAATAGATTAAACCAAAATGACGGACATGGGCGTTTTGAATGGCTGCATCTGTACGTTTACTCTTTATACATTTTACCATTCTGTAGGTATTGTGCCACTACGATTTCTCATAAAATGCAGTTGTAATGTTGTACTGTGATTTACATTTGACTGACACAATGTCCTTGGATTCAACTGCACAGAATGACCAATTAATAAGATCAGCATTAAGGTGGACATGGCTTCAGATTTCATGAATAAATCTTGCTACACCAAATACGATTATGTGCTTCCCCAAAGGCACAGTTATAGCAGAAGAAAAATGTGTAATTAAACCATCATATCAACAGATCTTGTTGTTGTCAAAACATCTCTGTTCATGGAATAAGAAGTGTGGTACAAAAGGCGAAATTTCTCAAAATCTTTGTTTCACATTATGATTAATAATAGTATTTTGATTTGTAACATAATTAATTTTATTTTGTTTTTATCTGATTAGTTTAATTTTTTTATTGGAATTTTAATATTCCAGAAATAAATACACTGACAGTTGTATCAGTTGACAGTTGTTGGCTGCCCACAACAGGGGTATAAGTTCTAAGCAGGTCCTTTATAACACAAAATATAAAGTGAAAAAGATGTTTTTTATTCAAAGAACTCTTGTCCTGTGGTGAGCTTCTTCCAACTGGTCTCTGGGGAAAAGAACAATCCACTTTGGGGAAAATACAGCTCTTCCCACAGGGCTGTGGGGAAAATTATAGAGCTTTTTCCGGATGAAATAATTAGCTACTGTATGACACTGCCCTTCTGCCTGAGCTGGAGAGGAAAATAATAGCAAAGAAAGTGAAGCCCTCCAGCCAGAGCTGGGGAACAATAATAGTCTGCAGCAGTTCTACAGAAAAATAATTTAGCAGTAGCCCTTTAAATTAGTGCTGGGGAAAAATAAGTTAGGTGTAGAGCTGCCTTTTCAGCTGGAGCTGGGGAAATATTAATTCATAATTGGCCTTCAGACAAGAAACAGATTCAGTTGGCTATCTTTGCCCACCAGTCTGTGCTGGATAAAGGCTGGGCAATCTAACAGGGCTCCACCTTGGATTGATATGCATGTCAACACCATTTTCTTCCCTGCTCAGTGATCCACTGATACTGTCAGAAGCAGGATGCACAATTCATCCTGCTCCAGTGATTGCTGGTGTCCTGTCAGCCACACTGTAATCTTCCACCATGTTAGGCAATTCAGCTTTGAAAAAAGGCGGGTCTAAACCACAGGAAAAGAAACACTTCATGACATCACACAATGTAGTCGTATCAAAGTAAATGTTGTAAATGTCTGCATTAATTTTACTTTGGCCCTCATTAGTTCACTTCACTGCTCTAGAATAATACAATAGTCTGCATGATGTACAACTCTGACATCTGACATCTCTGAACACGCTGTTTTCCATGAGGTCTGTAAAAGGAAAAACAGCATACTCCAATGAATAAAAAGCTGGCACAATCCCAGATATTCTATGGCCCACAGAATAATCTCTGATCTGTCAACATATTATTTCTTTGCAAATCATGCAATGATTTTCATGCCGTTAGCTACATCGTTTTCTTACCGTACGGGTTATTTGTTACTAGAATTTCTTGTGATACAGTATAGCCACAAATATCTGAAAACGTAGATGTGACCATTGTGGATGGATAGATGTACGTAGATGTGACCATCCTGGGCTAACGCTTTGTCAACCAGGACATAGCCTGTCCCTCACTTAATGATTTCCTGAATTCTCTGCACTAGTCTGTTGTTTGTTGAAACAACACATCTTATTCTCTGGGCAGCTTAGTTCATGTATTATCAGTCAATAAATCATGTTTACAATAATTTGATTCTAATGACAAAATATTGTAGGTGATGTGGAGTTTTAATTTACTGTAAATATCAGAATATTGTTACAGTAAATTGTAAGAGCACTTGATGACTGTTAGGAACTCATCAAAAATAATAATTTACAATTTCACAGATGGATTCTAAATATACAACATACAATTTATTGATTTTAAACCAGAACATACATAAAGAACAAACAAAAAGAATATATCAGTGACAATCTGCTGTGATACAAATGGCTAATATTTCACTCGGGGATTACAAATTAACACATTGAATATAAGGAACAAGTAATAGGTTTATTATATGCTGAAAAAAAGAAGAGAGATAAAACAACGTTTCGGCCCTGGAGCCTTCTTCAGGTGTCGTGTTTTTTCTCTCTTCTTTTTTTCAGCATGGAATAAACCTATTACTTGTTCCTTTGCAGCCTACGCATGCTGACGCAGCTACCCACCTGAACTACATATCATAATGCTTATGTATACTAATTTGCACTAGATTCATGATTTTATTTTGAATTGTATCATAGATATTCCCTGATCTGTCTTAACAAGTGGCCATTTGTTGAGCCCAAATAATTGCTCTCTTCAGTAGTTGTATAT